GAAGCTTAAAGGGTAAATGGGTGATCATGTGGTGAGAGCACAGTGTTTGGAGCTGTGGACATGGGCTCTGTTTGTGCTGATTGTGCCAAAATGCTGTGCAGCTGACTTTGGCACTTCTGGGTATTCACGAGTTGGGTAATGCATGTAATGGAAGGATATAGCTAATACGTAAATGAGGCTGTAAGGACCTTCTTTGCAGATGATTACAGAAAGCCTCAACTTGAAGAGGAGTCTGCTATCTGAGTTGCATGCCCTGTGTGAAACGATGGTGATGGAAATGGCCATATCTCACCGTACTGCCCAACACATGACTCCAGGTGCTGCCAATGCAAATCTCAAAGACTCTTATTTCAGCCTGGGGCTGTCTGGGTGGATCACCCATGGAGAATTTCCCATCACTGCCAGGAGAAGCCCGGGGAAGCTGAAAGACTGACGTGCTGCCAAACCCCATTTTAATTTTTGCCTGGAGGTAGTTGGCATGTAGAACTATAGAATCGTTTGGGTTGGAAGGGACCTTAAAGATAATCCAGTTCCAACCCCTCTGCCATAGGCAGGGACACCTTCCATTACATCAGGTTGCTCAAAGCAAATTCAACTTGGTCTGGAACACTTGCAGGGATAGGGCAGCCACTTCTCTGGGCTCATAGTGAAGAATTTCTTCCTTAGATCTCATATAAATCTCCCTTCTTTCAGTTTAAAGCCATTGCCCCTTGTCCTATCACTACATGGCCTTGGAAAAAGTCCCTCTCCAGCTTTCTTGTAGCCCCTTTAGGTATTGGAAGGCTGTTGGAAGATCTCCCCAGAGCCTTCTCTTCTCCAGGCTGAACAGCCCTAACTCTCTCAGCCTGTCTCCATAGCAGAGGTGCTCCAGCCCTTGGATCATCTTCATGGCCTCCTCTGGCCTCACTCAACAGCTCCATGTCCTTCTGATGCTGGAGACCCCGGAGCTGAATGCAGCACTGCAGGGGGGTGTCATAAGAGCAGAGCAGATGGGCAGAATCCCCTCCCTCGACCTGCTGCCCACACTGCTTTGGATGCAGCCCAGGATACAGTTGGCTTTCAGGGCTGCCAGCACACATTGTCGGATCATGTTGAGCTTCTCATCACCCAGCACTCCCAAGTCCTTCTCCCAATCCACTTGTGCTTGGGATTGCCAACTCACGTGCAGAACCTTGCACTTGGCCTTGTTGAACTTCATTAGGTTCTCACAGGCCCACCTCTCCACCCTGTCCAGGTCCCTCTGGATGGCATCCCTTCCCTCCAGCGTGTCCACAACACCACACAGTTGGTGTCATCAGCAAACTTGCTGAGGGTGCACTCGATCCCAACATCCAGGTTGCTGCGAAGCTGGAGGTTCTGGAAAGCTCCCTACATGTCATCTGGGAGCATCTTACGCTCAGTCCTGTGACTTTCAGTGAACCCAGGCATTTCCAGTTTCTAGCGTTCTATCAGAAGGTTCTCAAACAGCAGTACATGCAGCCGTCCCTCCTCATGTGGTCAGCTCTCTCCTGAGCCGGAGGATGTGGGTCAGTGTCTGCTGCGTGGGGTGCTGCTTTTTTAATGTGCTCTTCTCTGCTGGCAGTCAAAACAGAAGCAAAAGAAAAAATAAAAGAGCTGGGAAATGCAGGGGTTAATTCTGTGCCGTCTGTGGGTGCAAACAGGGTTCTGTTAAAAATGAAATGAAATTGGGTGGAGGTAGATAAAAAGAAATCTGAAATAATTGTTCTGTAGAATATGGCCTTTCCACATAGGCAGAAATCTTTCTCTTCACTTCTGTCTGAAGAGAGTGTCAAATAGAGAATCTCATCTCTTAATTAGAAAGAAAAATACTCATCAAACACATCTCATCACTGGAAAGCTAATGATCCACAGCTGCTAGTCTGAAAGGGCAGGCTTTTTTTCTGAACAGTAGGAAGTGTTAATCATTTTGGATGAGATTTCCTTTTAAAATATACTGTAGTTTGCAAAAGAATAGGATATTCAATATTCTAACTTAAATTATTTTTTGAAGTGTTGTACACCAGGGATAGTGTCATGTGTCTCCCTGAATGATCATTTAATGCGTGTGTCTCTCACTAAGAGTATCAACTGATGTGATGTTGTAAATGGCCAGTTCGTGTCTGTGACCCTGAAAATCTTGATCTCATGGGGGAGAAGAAAAACCGTCCTCCCTTGTATTCTTCTGTATATGAAATGGCAGCTATATTAAACTGTAACCTTTGAGACTCCCACTCCTCCCTTAAAATAGTTGGCTTGTTTCAGTAGTGATGAGGATCCTTTTTTTAGACAGAGTTAGAGCCATTATTTTCTTGGAAGAGATCATACCAGATACAGTCCATGTTCTGCTGGATGCTTTATAGGCGCGGGCAAGTCCCAGAACCGCCCTTTTATACACGTTCCTTAGCTTTTCTGGACTTTTTTTTTTCCCTCCTATACTTGTTTAATGGATGGCTATGTAGATTTTCCTCCCTTTCATGCATGAAGTGAAGGTTTCTACAAACCACTTCTCTTCTTCTCTCTCCTCCCCCCACTATCAGGTCCTTCAAGCCTATGAACTGAGTCCCTGCATATTCTTACTGTTCTGCATCAGATTTTGAGTTTGCTCATGTTTACTTAAAAGTTTTCTCCAATTCTGGGAATTTCTTTGTTTTTTCCCATGTGTGTTTCATGAGTGCATTTCTCTTCTGGGGGAGATAGTGAGGCCACTTCACTCGCAGTGCCATCACTGTGCTGGTCTCGCACAGCACACGTCTCATTTGTGTTGCAAATGTAGAGTCCCTGCTTTCCTAGTGCCTGGCTGAGATGAGTGCCTGAAAGGAGGAGCTGGTTAATATTCAGCCAGAATAGATGGAAATGAAGCTGGCAGGGCAGTGAAATCATCTGCAGGAGATGGCAGATGTAATATCCATGTTTTTGAAAGAGATGTTCATACGATTTGTAAAGAGGTAATATCTTAATATAATATTTTAATGACCTATAGAGTACAGTACTGTAAGGAATTAATACTCTTAAGGATCATTTGGTACTAAGGAACCTCAAGTGAGGATTGTTTGGATGATAAGTATGGATGTTCTGGAGTACAGGGTACATGATGACTGTGTTCTTCAGTCTCCGGTCAGGTCCGTGCCTCCTGAGACTGTCTAGGTCTGCGGGCTTCTTTTCTCTGGAGCTGGAGATTGTTTGGATATTACTTCATTTTATTTCCATCTTTCTAACCAAAGTTCAGATGGGACCATAAGAAATACTGTATGCATTGCTGTTTCTCAACAGATAATCTCTAGTATTTGCTTTTCTGGTAGTTGGGTGCTGTTTGTTGACTTCCAGAGCTCCCTTCAGTGTGTGTCTATTAACTAGGGCATCTCTGGGGTTAAAGGGTGCAAGGATTTTTGCTTTTCTTTTGAGACGTGAATTCTGTTGCAAGTTGGCTGTATCAAATTTACCGCATCAAATCCCTGTAGATCTGGCTCTCGGAAGGGTAGTTAACAAACTCATAGAAGAACTCTCAAATTCCATGAGCCGTTGTTTGTTTCTCACTCATTACCATTTCTAACAGATTTCCTTTTAAACTAAATCTAAAAAAGACAGTTTTTTTCAAATGAAATATTAACTGTTGGAAGTGCCAATATGCTCTTATGCATGTCACACACACTGCTTTTTTAGTTATTTCAGTATTTATCATGTTTGTCTTGCAGTCTCACAGGACTTCCATTATACATAGCATTCAGTGATAGAAGTAGGAGGGTGAGGTAAGTTAGCTGATCTTGAGCGAGCAAATTACTTAAAATACAGATTTTTTTTCTTTTATATCGGAGCTTGTATTTGATAACAGCGTTTTGTTTTAACTCTAAACAAAAATCCAGCAGAAGACTATGAAAATCCTCATTTTCTTCTAATTTGGTTTTATATACGTCTTGGTGACTGGTTTGGGAAAGTGAGTCTCTTTTCAGTTTACCTAGCTATTGGCATTGCTTTAGGAATGCTAATTCTATGGCACAACACCATCATACATTTTAGCAGGTAGTAAAACCACAAGTACTCTGAAGCTTAACTGTTTGGATGAAAAGCAAGATTTTGGGGTGGATGTCCAGCTGTGGTACGTAATGTGATTTGCTATAATACTTTCATTTTTGTTTTTTGCCATATTAGCAGAAAACAGACCCAAGTTATGGCTAGAGCTGGCTGAAACAAAGGGGAGTTTGTACACAGAGAAAACCAGATGTAAAAATGGTTTTTGTTTGACCCCATCTAAGTCCGAATGTTTTCAGTTCTTTCTTCAAACTGATAAATTTGTACCAGCACCAGTAGGGAACTGGCGCACATCTCTGGGAGATGTAACCTCAACACGCTTTGGCCAGCATCCAGCCACGGAGCACTCGATGTGTTTTCAGGAAACGCTTGAACAAGTCAAAGTTTTCGCAGGGGCGGACTTAGGTGGCTTCTCAGCATTCCTTTCAGCCCTGTTTTCTATGGGTCTGTGGTCATACTGTTTTACCATGCTTTCGTTAAAGTAATTGTACGTTTTTCCCTTTTAGTGCGATTTTTTGCTAGTTTTCTATGCAAAAGAAAGATTTAGGTGTGATGTCTACTTCTTCTACTTGTTTGTGTGACATTGCTATGAAATGACCAAGTTCTTTTCTCTAAACAGCAAATTGATTTATATCCATAGAAATAACTAACCTTTTCTTTCTTAAATTGTGGTCCTGTTTTTATGCCAGTTTGCATTATTTTGTCCACATAAGCGTTATTTTATGAGAGAACAGTTAATATTCTTCTCAGACCACACTATTTTCTTTTTGCAAGAATTAAGATACGAAGCAATGGAAAATGTAGCAGTTGTTTCATGCAGGTAAGTGACCAATCAGCAAAGTTAGTTAAACAACTTTCCTGCATAAGGAGAGGTTGGTTTCTTTAGAATTGTTTTAATTTATTGGTCTTAGCTGTGCGCAAGAGTTTAATGTAATGCTGATTTGAATCACTTTTTTTCCTGCTCTGTCTTCTAGCTTTTTCTTTTCGTGGTCTGGAACTTTGAGCTCTACATGATACCACTGGCTTTGTTGTTGCTGCTGGCATGGAACTACTTCTTGATCGTATCAGGGAAAGATAACAGGCAACATGATACAGTGAGTCCTCTCTACTTCAAGAGCATACGTGTCCTTTTCTTTTTTTTAACTAGATAAAATTTTGTAACTGAGTTTAAATATGACATCTTTTTGAAAATATGTCGGTTCACAATGCTCGATGGACAATTTTCCCACCTGCAATTTAATTTTTCTCCAGCTGTCCAATAAATGTGTGTGGTTTTGTTGAAAATGTCATGTAAAAATACAGTAGAACATGTACTATCCTCAGAATCTGGTTTGTGTGGGAGCAGAGATGAGAGGCTTTTTGGTCAGGAGAAGGCAAATAATTTGAAAATGATTTTGTGTGGCTAAGTCCTTGTGTTGCATTTTTTATTTCACATATTGAAGTTAAAGCTTAAAATTATTCCAATTTGTTAACAGTTTCAGAATGTATCACATTTTATTGGATTTCACAGTTTAGCATTAATATGTTACCATTCATTGAGCTTAATATAAGTCTTTCCTTATTTTCTTCTCCTAATCTAATGCCGTCATTTAATTACATGCATGTAGTTGGGATGTAAAGTGGCAAACATTTACTAATAACTGACATTTATTAGTAATGAAAGCACAGTTCAGGGTTTCAGAAGCATGTATCAAAAGCTGAAGTTGTATTCTGTGCTGTGCAAATTTTCTAGCATTCAGGCAGCTTAAGGATTTTGCATGTATTTTATTGCTGAGCCTGATGAATTTGATATTTGTATCAGTATTTGTGTCCTAAAGCAGTGGGCTCTCTAGGACATTATGATCTGGACAGATAACAGGATAGGTGGAAAGAGACCAAAATGGGTTAGATTATTGGTCGCAGAGGATAGTGGCTACTGGAGGTTGGTAAGAAGTGGAATACCACCATAACCAAGGACCTGCCCCATTTAACATCTCTATGAGTGACCTGTAGGAGGTGACAGAGTGCTCCCCTATCGAGTTTCTGGGTGACACCAGGCCTGTGGGACCAGTTAGCACCCTGGATCTGCCAGTCAGAGAGACCTAGGTAGGATGGAGAGATTAGGTCATGAAATCCAAGAAGAAAAAATGTGAAGTCTTGCTCTTGGACATGAATAATCCCTTACAATGTTACAGACTTGGGACTGATTGTCTGGGAAGAATTTGTCTGAATTGGGCCTGGATGTCTTGGAAGACAGCAAGGTAAACATGAGCCAGCAGTGTGCCCAAGCAGGAAAAAGGACCTCCAGCACCCTGGGCTGCATTAACAGGAGCACAGTGGATCAAGGGAAGCGATGATCCCCTCTGCTCAGCACTTGTTAGACCACATCTAGAATAGTGTCAAGTTTTGGGCACCTCAGTTCAAGAAAGACATTGATTAACTTGAGCGAGTTCAGTGGAGAGCTACCAAGATGGTGAGGGGCCTTGAGCACTTGCCCTGTAAGGAGAAGCTGAGGGAAGTGGACTTGAAAGAGCCCGGAGAAGAGACGGCTTTGGATGACCTGAACAGCAGCCCTCCACTGTCTTTGAGAAGGTTATCAAGAAGATGGAGCTAGACTCTTGACAGTGATGTGTGGAAGAGACAACAGGCATAATTTCAGATAAAAGAGGTTCTGACTGGAGAACCTTTTTTTGCCATGAGAATTGTTAAGCGGTGGAAGAGATTGCCCAGGCAAGTTGTGCAGTTGCTGTTGGAATTCTTCAGGACCGGACTGGATAAAGCTCTGAGCAACCTTATCTGACCTCATGGCTGACCCTGCTTTGGTCAAGAAGTTGGAGATGCCTTCCAGCTTGAATGATCCCATGACCCTAACATCTAGTGACTGCAATTGTTAGTGACCAGGGGAGCTGATACAGCCCCGATCCTGACACTGGTGTTACCTGTCTATGTCACTAAGACTGTTACACTTCCGAGGGTCATCTAAAATTACAGGTGGGGATGATAGAGGTATTCTCTAATCCCAAAGGTTGTTACATTTATGAAGAAAGCCTAAGATAAAGATTTAAAAGATGCATTACCTAAATCACAGCCTTTAGTCTTCTACTGCCTGAAATGCTTAAAGCTTCTCAACCTGAAGATTTTATGAGTAACTGAAATCCCTTGTGAAAGGAGAGGTTTCACTTGTGAGCTCCATACACTTCATTTGTCTCTGAAGTTCCACCTGCCTGTGGAGATTAATTGGGTCATGTAACTTTTCTAACAAAATAGTGAAGCTATTGAGGGGCTCTCTGTCGAGGACATCAAATGCTGCTCTAAAAACGTTCCTCTTGCTGAGGTTGCTCAGACCAATTGTTAAGACAGCTTAGGTCAACCAATTGCGTTCATCCCAAATATTTGATATCTATGCCATTGTTCACTATTTTTTGTTTTGGTTTATCACAAGTAAGTTGGGATATCATTTTTGATGATTTGAGCTTGGTTATCACATGGTGAGCATCTGTCTTCTATGAAGTGATCTGCATACTTATTGGATGCCTTTCTAATTAACTCACAAATCTTCGGTAATATCACAAGTCCTTAGCTCAGATCATTAGCACAGTATCATTAGATTAGGAGTCATTTAAATATTTCTGTTTTCCTATGCAGAGTGTAAATATTAAGCAAATTAATTAAGCAGTGTTTCCTAGTGGCTAGAGAATGCTTCAAGATTCACATGATCTGGCTTCTGTTCCCAGGTCTCCAGAGATTTCTTGTGTGCCTCAGTGAAATTGTTGACTGCTTATCTTAGGACTATCATCTCTATTTAGAAGTTACTTTGAAATCCTCAAGCTAATGATAAAACAAAAAGATAAATGTGTTTGTTAACTTTTCTTAGTCAATTAACACCAGACAAGCATAGTTAAAAATTGTATGCACTTTATACTTGTTTCATGTCTATGGAAAATACTGAAATTTGAGACCTTCAGGAGTAGCTCAGAAGAGTTAGTTTCCATCGTTATATCCCTACAAGAAAACAATTACCAATTGTCTCATCAATTCAAGCATTAGGGACTGCACTCTTCTGCAAGTCAATGAAATAGTGATCCCTGAGTTTCTGTCCAATGTGGCAGATAGACCAGCCTTAACTCATCCTCGCTCAACTGTCTCCATAGACAAGTTATAATTTTCTATGTCCTCTTGGCCATCAGTTTCTTTGAAGTACTTTGGAACTTATTTTCTTGTGGAATAATTCACCTGTCAAATGGTGTGGGTTACTCTGTTGTAACATGAGCCTGCACTGCTCATTTGAGTGTGTGTATGATTATTTTTCAATTTACTCTGACTCTTAATAAGTTGTAAGTGCAATTGCACTTGAATTAAAAGTGAAATGAGACTGGGGCAAGGGGGAGACCTGAGTATATTTACTAGTAGATCTAAGGAAGAAGTTTTTTACATTGAGGGTAGTGAGGCGCTGGAACAGGTTGCCCAGAGAAGCTGTGGCTGCCCCATCCCTGGAAGTGTGCAAGGCCGGGTGGGATGGGGCTTTGAGCGACCCTCACTCCTTGAGTGGAGGGTTTCCCTGCCCATGGCAGAGGGGTTCGAACTAGATGATCTTGAAGGTCCCTTCCAGCCCAAACCGTTCTATGGCTCTAGGATTCTATAATAGCAGATAAGTCTATTGGAAAGTCCGATAAAGAAGTGATGCAGCGTATGAGGCATTATTGCTTTCATAGATCCAACTGGACTGTTTGTAGGGTTGATCACCACTGTGGTTTTAGTCAAACATTGTCACAAACTTCAGAGAGAAGCATTGGATTCCCTGTCTTTTATACATTTAGGTCAAGATCAGTTGTGTTTCTGAAAGATACGTTTTCATCAAATACAAACTCTTGCATTAAATGTTGGTGTAAGCAAATTTAGATAGGTGTAAATTTAATGGATGATTCTGTAAATGAATCTATGAGAATTCAAACTGGTCTAAAATTAATGAACTTCTGGCATTGAGTCATGTGGCAGGTATAAAAAAATCACAGAATAAATATTTCATTTCAATATTAGGCAAGGAAAAAAAATCACTAAAATGGCATTCTTACTTTCCTCTGAGTTTTGCAGTAACATTTTTGCCTGAAGCTTACCTAGCTGCTTTCTCCAAGGATCCTCGGGATACTCGAGGAGAACAAGGATAGAGGGAGAGCAAAGGGTGGGCTTGTTTCTTAGCAGCCTTGACTCTCTGGGAACTCCAAACCACATTTTAAAATAGATGGACGAACAAAAGAGTTCATCCCACACAGCCGTAATTGAAAGACTTCTGGATATATTCAAGCTAATAGAAAGTATACTGAAGTTTAAAGCTTTTTTTCAGTCTATTTAAGAAACTGTTTAATATTTTCATGTTTTCAAATGTGTTGTACAAAAAACCCTCACCTTTATACCTTGAAGCAAACAGCAGTACTGCTGTCTGGGGTCTTTTTTTCACTTCTATTTCTAGGCAAAAGTCATAGTTATTAGAACTGCGTGAAACTAGTGGAAAAAAAATGTCTTTTTTTCTTCCCCTGCTTTTCTACTTCAGGCTGTGTTCCGGCTGCCTGCTGGAGCTGCCTAACTTAAGGAATGGTCAGATAATCCCTCAAAGTGATTAAAAATGTTCCCACTCTCACTCTCCAGCTGCTCTTGACCCCATCCCTGACATGAAACATTTGATTGTGTGGTTGGAGTGCATCATATTGTGAATGAAACCTGGTTTGCATAGTTATCAATTTCTTTTTTTCCCCTGTGTATATAAAGGTGACTTCTGCAATTAGGATGAACTGTGACAGTCTCTCAGCTGTTGGGCCAGTTCATAGCGCTGAACTGCTGTACCAGGCATATTGGATCTCCTCTGGTGGCACTGCAAGTTCTTGCTCTTCCTTGACTAAATAGGTTAGCAGATAGGGAGCCCAGGTCATCTTCTCCTTGATCCTGCCATTGAGGAGAAAGGTTTGGAAGAGAAGTGGACAGATCTAGCAGGTCAGCAACCAGTTGCACAGCTGTTATTGACAGCAGGGACTTGGTTTTTACAGCTATGGGATCCTCCTTGAGGATTGAGGCAAGATCCACCTTACCAAGTGGGGCAAAATCTTCTTTCCCAGAAGGCTGG